TTGGATTACTTCCATGTGGTTTATGTATGCTGGTGTTTGACATGGAAGTAGATGTGGTGCTGAGGGGACTGCCTGCCCATGCACGTATTGTACCAGTGTTGAAGCAACTGCGCTGACTACTCGTTAGCTATTGAGCTAAATACAAGGTCTTGGTGGTCGTGTATAAAGCCCGGAACAAGTTGGGATCACTTTACTGCCTACCCTGCTATAGGCCTGATCATCCAAATATATCAAATACCCTGACCTGCAGACTGCCATCTTGCAACCAGGAGTGGGCCCTCTCCATGGCAGAACATTCTTTGTGCAAGGTCCTCCTCCTGTATTTGGAAGGCACCAACTATGGCATGCTCTAGGTGCCAAGTACAGGCCTCTTTGACTGATTGTGCTATCCATGGTGTCGTGAGTTTTTATATTTTTATGTAAAAGTTTTTAATTTTCATTTTAATGTATTTTAATCTTTGTAAACCAGTTAATTGTTTAAATATGGTAAGTGGTATGTATCTATATCTAATAATAATAATAATAATTATTATTATTCTGTACCAGGACTGGTGCGTATGCGAGGTTGCTAGGCTCTTTCCTATCACCAAAATAAATACATGAAGGAGAGTTAAGGGTGTGTTACCTGGAAGTGGCAGAGGGAATGACCATAGAACAAGGGCAAAGTATTTCCTTTTTATAGAGAACATCCCAGGTTCCAATCCAGTAAAATACCAGCTAGCACAGCTTCTGCTGGAAAGTGACTGCTAGTTGGAGTAGACGGGAATAAGTGCTCTTCTCTACAAGGTTGCTTCATATGTCTATATAACATCAAAGGTGCCTCAAATACCAGACAGTTTTGCAAGACCTCAACATTTCTAATGCAGAAATCAATGGGAATGGTAAACATTTTATGGAGGCTAAGCAAACAAAAGAAGAAAAGCTTGGGGATTTGGATACCAGCATGCTGGCCCTTTCTTTGCAGTATCACAAACATTATTTTCCTTATATGAGGGTTCTTGGATGCAAGACAACAGCAGAAACATTTGCTTCCTAAACCTGAATTTGAACGGACTGTGTGCTTGTGTGACCTTGTGACCTATGCCTGATTTTGCCAACATGCTCACCTTGATGGTATTGACTCAGTGGACCTCTTGCATGAGGATTTTCATAGGAAATCTGTCACTGAGTCACAAGGGATAGGTGATACACCAGACGTGAGGCATGTTCAGCTTAGAAAATGGAATATTTGGCTTGGTTTGAATGGCTTGGATTTGAATCCCCACTTTGCTATGCCTACAGGTGCCACTCGGTGGCCTGAACTTGCAGGTAGCTCCTTTGTGCCAGGTCAGAGTAGTTGCTCATCTAGCTCAGTACTGTTTGACTGGCAGCCACGCTTCATGGTCTCAGACTTCTCCATCAGCTGATCCTTTTGTCTGAAGAAGTCAGGGATTAGACCTGAGACCTTGTGTGTGCTGCAAAGCTAGGCCTTTTGTTCCTCTTGGCAAGTTGCTCCCCCAGTTCACATGCCATGACTATCCCTGGGTTGTCTAGGTAGTTGGGAGTGAGTGTATGTGCAGGTGCCAGGTGGCCTGCCTATGCCTGCTGCAGTAATCCATCCAAAGGTACCCCATCCCTGAGTTGTTCATCGTAACATCCAGACCGGGAACTCTGGACTGCTGGGGGAGGAAAGCTTGAAAGTATGCTTATTATTTTAAAGAAAGTTTTCTACAGTAAAACCACAAGATACATGACATCACACTGGCTGATTTTAAGACTTGCCAGTCAATCTTGGAAATTGCTTCCTACCAAATTAGTGGAAGTTAGCTCTAAATCAGCTGAGAAGAGACAATAGCTCTAAAGCTGCAAATTAGGGAATACCAAGCCTAATTTGTCACCTTGGCAGGAAGTGTGATGGTGCAAGTTAAACCTTGGAGTGTTTTTACATTAGGCTCCCCATCAAAAAGGAGGATTTAAATTGGGGGTTGCAACAATCATGTTTTAGCGGGATCTGCTGTGCATATTTTTCTGTTCCACTTAATATTTTTAATATAAAAATTCTGAAGGTAAATAGGTAGTTATTGTAGTGTGGTAACCCTAAGGTTATCTCAAATAATGTTTCAGCTGAAACAAAAACACACTGTGTGAGTGCTTGAAAATGCAGGAAACATCTTGAAAACAAACTTTTCCCCACCCTTCTGTTTGATGTTGCTATCTAGCTTGGACAAAACATTATTTTGTTACTGTTTCTGGGCGTGAAGGGAAAAGTTAAAACATAAGCATGTATAAGAGAATTCTGCCTTTGGCACTGTGCCTTTGAACCCTGGGTCAAAGGCACATCAGTGACATTAACCAAATATGCACTACAGAATAGGAGGTTTAGTTTTAAAAATGCAGATCATGGATCATAGAAGCCAGTCTTCTGCTTGCATACCAATTCCAATTTTCAAATGTTGACCATCATGCATATGAAATGAATTCCTGAAGGGAGGTAGTTAAACGAAGCAGTTGCTGCACAGAGATAACCTTTGTTGAAGTTTCTATGTTCCTTTGTGCGTCTGTAGAATTTCAGCCAGTTGTGTACCTTGGTAGAAAGGTGGCTTAGATATGTTAAGAGTAGATTAACTGCCAGGGCTCTCCAGGGTCAGGTCCACAAGACATCAGTTGGGGTGAGTGCATAGTGCAAGTCAAACCAGAGTCCAGAGCAGTGGGGACAGAAGGGCAAGAGGCAGGGGGTAAGCAGTCAGGTTCAAGGTCTAGGTGTAATAATCTAGAGGAAGAGGAGCTGTGGTTAGGTGCAAGAATTTGTATGGCTATTTTAGGGGAAAGTAGCTCAGAATGATAAACCCTGAAACAACAGTTATGTAAAGCCAGCCAGGCTTCTATTACCTGGTCTGGCTGGGCTACGCCATACTATGCTCCTCTGGCTATTAACTGGGTGATGCTGTAATGCAGCAAAGACCAGGCCGTCAGCAGTCTTTTCTGTGAGCTGCCCTACTAGTGCAGTGAGTAAGGGACCTGGGCACGTCCACCAGAGTTGCTGGTTCAAGTTCCATGTGCTTTATATGAATGAATACATGAAGTAGACAGATTGAGAGAGTTGAAAAGTAGTCAGGTAAGATTTTTCCTAGGTGCCCAGCTGTAGGTGAATGCACATTTTCCCTACTTAAACAAGCAGCATTGTGATAATGTGGCTTGAGTTTCAAAGTAAGTTTACAATAATCATTAGCCCATATTGAGGATAACATGAGTAGTCAAGCATTCCAACAACATCTTTTTAGCATTGTTGTCATTGAGAAAACTTGCCTTGTATAGTTCATGTTAAAGAACTTTCAGATTGGACTGGTTCTTAATTGCCATTTCTGAACAGTCAGATTGGCTCTTGTCTATCTCTTAAACCATGTAAATGTATGAAATAATTGTTCATTTATGAATATCTAGACTGCACAGAGCTAAAAAGTGGGGGTGTGCATAGTATGCAGTATGGCATCATGAAGCCCTTGGTTTAATGCCAAAACCCTCTGCAAACTATCAGTCCAGACTTCCACCAAAGGTGATCTGTCCCTTCCCTGGCAGCCTGCTGGCGGGGGGAGATTGAACAGGATAGCAGAAGGGATGGCGCTGTCAACTTTTGCTGGTGGTTCTACCCACTAGGGGCATGTGGTTCCCCATGGGGATGTGGCCCTCGACAGGAGGAAAAGAAAGGCTCCCCACCCCTGCAGTTTATTATACAGCTGCACATTACTATATCTACATTTCTTCTCTTTTGCCTTTGACTGTAATGGTTCAGATATTGGATGAAGTTGAAAGGAGAAGGGGAATCTCTGCTGCTCTGGTTTATCCATTTATGAGAAGTCTGATGGAGTCTCCTTTTCCTGCACCTGGAAAGACAATCAAAGTCAAGACATTCCTGCCTGGAGCTGGAAATGAGGTAAAAAGAAATTTTAAACTGTAAAGTAAAACCTTAACAAAACACCCACTCACTGAATCAGAAAAATAGGAAGAAAGAAAGTAGATCTCAGCTATCACAGCTCTGGTGGTGGGGGAGGCATGTCTTGTGATGGCTTAAAAAAGAAAAAAGAATTTCCATGTAAAAACTGTTCCATTCAGCAGTTTATCTTGGGGGGTGGGGTGTATGACTACTTTGGAAATCTAACTTCATATTTGTTTGACAACTTATCATATACTTCAAGGCCTCTTGGTTTGATCTGTGAAATTGATGATGCTGACAGGCTTTATCACGAGGTCAGCAAGCCAGCGAGCACTCAAGGTGTTTTCCCCCATGACTAATCCCCAGTTGTTAAGTCAGGAAGCTACAAGTCATCACAGGCAAGAAGGGTGGAATTAGAAGTTATCACTAGCACTTAGCGATAGTTCGGGACTCTGAAATAAATATTTCATGCTTTTGCCTATATTTGGTCATTAAAAGACTCCGAACCGTGTGTATATTATGGATGTGTATAATTGCATTTTGTCTTAGAGAACTAAGCTAGCCAAACAAGATATAATACCTGGATTAGTAACATATGTGAGCTAATGCTTTTTAGGTCATAATATATGAATCATGGAAGAAGTGTCTATTTTACCCGGGTACTCAGCTTCCAGTGCCAATACAGAAATACACATACTTTCTCTTAATGATTGTCCATAGGCTTGACTATCAATGCATGTGTTGCAGAAAGTAACATGTAAAGAGGTGCTCAGAAAAATTGCTCAGCCCGTTCTCAAGACATGTGAGCCAAGCTGATACTTTGAGAAACATTGTATATTTCCAATATGACAAAAGAATCAAGCCTGGATTGGTCTAATATTCACACTTAGATGGTGACTTATGTTTGTGGAACACATTCAGGTAATAGAGCTTCGGAGACCAATGGACTCTCGTCTGGAACACGTGGACTTTGAGTGTCTGTTCAAGTGTCTGAGTATAAGGCAGATCATCAGAATCTTTGCTTCCCTCCTGTTGGAACGGCGAGTGATCTTTGTAGCAGATAAGCTCAGGTAAGCCACACAAGAACTTAAGAATTAAGCAGCAAGATGAGACTGCAGTGGTACTGTGAAGAACTTAGGCAGAAGCTCACAAAATTAATAGATTAATAGATTCGAACACTCAGCAATGGATAGGATTTCATTACAGTTTGTTTAGAATCTTCCCGTAATCATGTATAATTGTTTAAAATGTGGGCTTCTCTGCCTTGGACTTTCATTAATGACTTTTCAGTAATTTTATTAAGGAATCAACTTGAAAATATGCTGTGCTATACCCCAGAGCAGGGAAGTTCAGGTCTGTAAGCCAAATCCAATCCCCTGAGGTTTTCCAGATGGCCACACTTCTTCCACCTGGCCCCAATCCCTTTCTCCTAGGCAGTGGTTGCTTGGTGGTTTTCTGGCTTTTGTGCAGTTTTCCCCCATTCTAAAAGGTTGAAATGCTTCCACTAAGCTCAGCTACTGGCAGAATGCTGGCATTTTGTAGGTAATTGTATCAGGTCCCCGAATGACCAGGGAAGTCTTTAAAGGCCTCTGCAAAGAGGGCTGTCTTAACCTTGCACAGAAAATATGGCAAATTTGGCACCAGGAGAGCTGCGGCATGGAGGATGCATGGAGATTATTTGAAAGATGGGGATTCACCACCAAAAAAACCCTCCTCCTAGTTGCCACCCTCTGAGGAGTTGGCATCCAAAGGAAGGCCCCAGAAACTGAGCATAGTGTCTGGTTAGATTGGATTCAAAGATTCATTCCAAAACTAAGGATTCCATTTGTCTCTCAATTTGAAAATTCTCCTTATAATTTTGCTTAAGGCTTTATAATGTAATCCTACCCAGGGAATAACATCCTCTTAGGTAATAGCTATTGCAAAGAGCTTCAGTAGCAATACTGACATGTTTAATTGTTTTATGATTGTTCCTGCAGCAGCCATTGCAGGCTGAATATTAAGTCTGCTGTTACTGGGTGAGGAGAAACTGTAGCCCAGTGTCTGAGCACATGCTCTGCCCACAGGAGTTTTCAGCTTTATTCCTTTTAGCTGGGAAAGCCTCTGGAAAACCCCCACCCAGTCAACATGCGCAATGCTTGTTTGTCAGTTTATTTCCCGCCCATCCTCCAAGGAGCCCAAGGCATTGTGCACATAATCGTCCTCTTCATTTTATCCTCTCAACCACCTTGTATGCTGTGCTGTGCTGAGAGTCTTTGCCTGGACCAAAGACAGCCAGTGAGCTTAATGGCTGCCCGCGTTCCTCAGCCTGCAGGCCACTACTGCTGCATGGTGGGTCTGGGGCACTGTGGTGGTGCTTCGCCTGCACAAAAGCCGTCAGGAGCTCACGTTCGTATCTGCGGAGCTGCTGAGCAAATTGGACTCTGCTCCCTTCTTTTGCTGCAACCTAGCTGCAACTTGAGAGGGAGTGCAGCATAGTATTCATTGGACAGGACTCGATTGCTCTATCTCTGTGTTTCTCACCATGCATGCCAGGGTAGTATCATGAATTGTTTCATGAACAGTTTCATGAGCACATGTATGCACCACCATGTAGACTTGATTACCATGGGTGTGCTTGCAGGCCCATGATGGAAAGCTGTGCAGCTCATCTTGAATAGCAGAAGTAATCTGGTGGAGAACCATTCCTATGTGATGACAAGAAAGCAAGTTCAGAGACCACTGTGATTATATTACAAAGCCTTTAATTCTCACCCAGTATAGTGGCATACTTGATTTTGTCAAATCCTTCATATACAATGCCCAACAAGATAAATCCTTAAACATGACTCATGTCTTTGCAATATGAGGTTTATGTTGGCTTGCAATCATGGGAAAAAATACTTGGTAGAAGGATAAAGGAGCTAAGAATTATTCTTTACATTGTGACCATAGTTAAAACAGTTTTTTGTGCAAAGGAATAGTTGATAATTGGCTGATGTGATGTGGAAAGTATGCATTTCCTTCTCACTTTATGCCCCCTACACCAGCTTTATCATTCAAACCTTGTTTGTGTTCTGGGGCTTGTCACAAAGCTCATTTGCTGCAATCAGATCAGCGTGCAAATTAAAGAGACTGCTTAAGCTTGCCGTGGAGTCTCAGATCTGATCAAAGTCGTTTACTGTTGTATATGAGGATTAATTTCTAAAAGGGCAAAAAGAACAAGTTAATTGCAGAGGGTAGTTAGTAAACAAATCTAATAGTACAACCTTCTGCTTGGCTACTTAGAAGTGAGCCCCATTAAATGTAATGGGACTTACACTGAGGTCAGTGTGTATGGCAGCTTTCCCCCGCCTGTGGTACCCTAGGTAATTTGGGCAGTAATTCCCATTATGGCTATTGGTTGCAGCCCAACACAACTGGAGGGTATTAATGCTGTGAAAAACTGTGTTTTGGATTGCAGCCTAAGTGTTGTTATTGGTTGCTGTATCAGTTTCCAAATTCTTGGGATTCCAACTGAATAGCTACATCCCTTCCCAGCATGGCTGGGTTCAGACAACACAATAATCCACACGGAAAAGATGAGTGTGCGATATGGTTGAACCATGAATTGCTGCCATCATTGTTGTGTTTGAAACATGGATCCACAACAAAACATGGCTTCATAGATGGCTCCTGGTTCAACAAACCATGATTTGTTGGCATGGCTAGGTCAAGGCAACATGAAAGCCCAATTTTTCAGCAACAACCTATAGTTCAGTGACAACCCACATTCAACCCATGCTTGAGTGTGGATTATCATGTTGTTGATGATTAGGTTCACAGGACACAACTTGTCATGAGTAACTAGCCTTAGTTGGTTGTTATTTTTTTACAAACCCAAACATCTTCCTGCAAGGTGACTGGTTTTCTACCAACACTGATTACCCTGAAACTAAGAAGCTGAACTCTGATAAACACCAGGTAAGATAAAGTGTGGTGTTCATTAGATATGTGCATTATGTCACATGAAAAAATATCACATGAAAAATAATTGCACTTAGAAATCTTTAGTATTGTGAAATATCTCAGCTTTGGCTTTAAGTCACCTTCCTGTGTTGTTTATTTTCAGTGTCTGAAACATTATCCTTTAAATATTCCTTAGCATCTGAGTTTCCAGTAAATGCTGCCACATCATCTTCTGCTGTGGTTTGCTCCCAATCAGTGCATTCAGTTCTTTGTCTTTGAATATCACTATTGTCCCTGAATGCATGTGTTAGCAAATTTTGTAACTTGGGGACCTTTCTCACGGTCACAGCTATTCACGCAGCATTTTTCAACTGGCATTTTTCTTTCATGGCTAGCAACAATGACTCATGCTTTTATTTTGATATTTTCATGGGTAAGAAATGTAACAAAATATGCATGGCATGTAATTTCTCCAATCTGAGTAAGGGAGAAAGGATTCTGTGCTTTCAGTCTGCAGGGACCAGAATTTGAAGTTAGATCAAGAGTGTTTCTGTCTAGCTTCAGAACCTAGAGAACTTATGCTGTCTTCGGAGAATGCTATCATGGTTTAAATGACTGGTAGATTAGCAATAATTTGAGCTGGCACCCTCCTTGGACTACAGTCCTAAACAAACCCTTCATGGTAATGGTGCCATATATCTTTTATGTGAAAGATCCATGCTTGGAGGCCATGTGTGCTCCTGGTGAGCCTATTTGGAAAAAAAGCAGTTGAAAAAGCAGGATGTGTTTGCACAATACCATCTTTTCATGCATCAGAATGCTTTTTGTTGTCCAGATTAAATCCTGGCTGTCATTGTCACTGTAAGATGCATTAAAGCAAGAGACCAGGTTTCAGTTCTCACCATATAGTTTTTTGCCACTCTGCTTTTTTGATGATATGTTGTGGAAAATATGTATGGCATACTGGCTCCATTGTATACTAACTTTCATAGTACAAATAAATAGTTGGAAGTTTGTAGACATGTCCAAGGATTAAACATATTGTTTCCACAAAGTTGGAAGGAGTCATGAAGGCCATCGGGTCCAACCCCCCGCTGTTGCAGGACACCACGTTACACCATCCCACTCAGATGGTCCTTCAGACTTGTCTATTTGACTTGCTCCTTAGCAAGCTCCTCAGACTTGCCTGTTTGAGTGTATTTAGCACTTTTCTTACGACACCAAACCCAAAGGAGACAACAGATCTATAGTGTGATAACCTCTCAGGGAATGGAGGTGACTCCTCCATCCATGGAAGCTTTGTGCCACGATAAGTCTGTTTGTCTTTAAGGTGCCAGTCTTGGTTGTTTTTACTGCTACAGACTAACATGGCTACACCTCTGGAAGTCAAACTCAAGGAAGGCTACCCATGCATGTATATGTGCTTTTGACAACTTGTTACTCCCAACGGTGTCCCAGTGACCCAGCACATTGGACAATCTGCCAAGGGAAGCCAGGGAGAGATGGCCCAAAGCAGAACGCTCTGCAGAAGCGTGGGAACTGTACATGAGAGAGGATGTTGATGCTGATTTACATCATGGTTCTGCCTTCAAGAGGAGGGCAAGTCACAAAAGGGCATTCTATAGAAAGCAAAGATTATGTGCTGAACACTAATGGAATGTTTGTGTTCCTGCTTTTAGATTAACGTGGTTCTTGTTTTAGCTCCATTTGCTTATTGAGTTGATCAGTTACACTTGAAATTTCCACTGTCATTAAATGTGAGTTAAAGAGTTATGCCTGGGAGCCTGAAACATGCCCAACATTTTTCTTTTCCTGAATCAGATCACTGTTTGTTTTTTAAAAAATCAAATACATTCTTTTTAGTAAGATAAAAGTGGAGGCCAAGACATCACATGCTGGATAGCAGTGCTACAACTGATAGATTTGATAAGGAAGTTTGCATGAATTCTTGTGCAGGCAAGGTCATAAAAGTCAGATGCCTTGGCTAGGCCCCTCTGTGTTACTAAATTAATTTCAGTGGAGAGGGAATTCCATCCAGAGATTTCTCACCTGCTTTAGTATACGGATAAAACTCATTTGGGCAAGGAGTTCTAAGGGTGCTGGACTGGCACGTGTGCATGTACATGCAAACACACACACGTGCATGCACATGCACACACATGTATACACCTAAAGCAAAACAATTTTGCAAATACTTAATATTTGCACAGCTTATTCATTTCTGTAGATAGCCACTCTATTCAAGTGCATCAGGGTAGGAGTCAACTTTTAAATCACCTTGAGATGAAGGAAGTTGAGCATATGTATATAAGTATTCATTCACTCTTTTTTTAGTAAGAATATATCTCACCTGACCAGTTAATAATTAAACAACTGTAGGGAGCTAATATGCACAAAAGTGTGCTCGATCCTGTACAGGATACTATAAGGACATTTCCAGTCAGCAGCTTTTGGTGGTTTAGCGATGGTGGTGGTTCTTGCAACTGCCATGATTCTGTTAGGTATCTTAGGTCAGCAGAAACCTTGGCACAAGCGACAGGGGCCTGGGGGACTAACGTGTCAATGTCTTGGTGGTCCACAAAAATTCTATCATGGGTGGAGAAGTCAGATGTACAGAAGTGCCATAAGGGGCTGTGTGAGGTTTCAGAGCTTCCCATATGGCCCACAGAATCATGGTTTCCACAGCACTCAGCTGCAGTTGTTACTGAAAAGCAAATTGTTTTATGTCTTCTTATGTGTGGTCTTTGGAATGCTTCTTCTTAGAAATGGCAGAAAGTCTCAAAGCAGATATTTGATGCCATCTAGGGTCTCCAAAAAGTCTTGCATGTCAGTAAATTGACCACTAACAAATCAGCATTTTCATGCTGTAAGAAAGCTGTACAGTAAATGGGTATCCATAATTCTTGAGAACTAAAGAGGGGACCCAAACAAGTTTTCATTGTGACAAACATGTGCTCCAGTTAAACTACAAAAGTTTTAAAACCTTCAAACTCTTAAAACACAGTTTCGTTTTTGTTTTCTGAAAGTCTGTTGGAGAAGTATAAAATAAGTGTACAGGGAAAGTGTCCTGCATATATAAGACTGTATTCTGAAGAAAGGGGTTGGGAAGATGCTCTAGTTAAAAGTTCAGTGTCAGCAAAGAATTTCCGAAGAAGATTCAGAAGCATTTTTGAATGCATGAAGGTCCCTGAAGTGCTTTCCTCAGAACATGCTCTGCAAATGAAGGACGGCATAAGTATTATTCTATATCCTGCAGATGGAGGAATTCAAGAAGGAGTGATAACAAATGAAATTGGACTTGGGCAAGGTCAAGAGCAACAAGTGCTTGACCCTTTCAGTTTCCAGAGTGCTATGCTGCTCAAGGACAGGCTGTTTTTCCAGTGCTTACTTACGATGCAAAAAATGTAAGCTGAGAGATAGGGGAATCTGGTTGAAAGGGGAAGCAAAGGCAGCTGCTGTAAAGCAGTGACTAGCCTAACAAGAGCACTGATATTAAACTTGTCTTGGCAAGATTACTGAGTGGCAGGCAGAAATTCAACAGGTGTACTTTCCCGCTCACTGCATCTTCACCTGTCAGGTTGTTGCTGAAGATGCAAAAGGAGCAAATCCCCCGCTTAGTGACTCCTGAACAAATACTGGCTGAATGACTCCCATTATGAGAGTGTGTAGGAAGAATCCAAAGCAGGCTTTGCACTTTGGGTGCAAGACTGACAGGACATTCATGTATCAAGGTGTATCGGGCTTTCTCTTTTGAAGCGCA